GTTAGTTTCGGGTTTTAGGGGTTGAGTTTTTTGGGGTTCGGGGAAGTAAGGACTTTGGGGTTTAGGGCACCGCCAGCTCCAATGCTCTCCTACGCCCGAGGCCCCAGGACTTAATTCCGCAGCCTAAGCTGTACTCCCCTTACATGGCCGCTCGCAGGAAGGGCCCTAAACCCTAAACCCTAAACCCTAAACCCTAAACCCTAAACCCTAAACCCTAAACCCTAAACTTAAACCGCCTTTAGTCCCCTGGTTTGAGGTTCCTTGCCTGCTCTGGGGCTCCTTCTTGGGCTTTGGGGGAATCTGGATTCAGAGAGTTAGGGCTTCGGATTCGAGTCCTTCTCTGGAGCCCAACGCCCGAAACCCTGATCCCTACACCCTCAAACCTCAAATCCTAAGCCTTTTAAGCCGGACTCTAAGGCTGAATGCCCAAGTCTTTGCAGGATCCGGAGGCAGCGGCAAGGCATCCCGGAAAAAGTACGTGCGTGATCATCACGGAGGCCTACGAAGGTTCCAAATATCGCGGCCTGTTATCGCGTGATGAGTGTCTTCATGGTTAGACGGTTTGAGGGTTCTTTCTGGTGTACGTAAGCATCAAGGGACGACAATATGACGTTCTTGTTACTTGCCCAGACCTCAAGGATGGACTTTGCGTTTAGGCATCCTCGGTTACCCTACTACACCTCGCCCTTAGCCTTATAACCTAAACCCTAAACCCTAAGCTCGGCATGCTGCAAGCCTTTCCGGGGCGCTCTAACCCCAAAAATGCAGGACCCAAGCCAAACTACCCTACTAACCCCCCGAAAGCCTCAAAAAGCTCCAAAACCCTCCTCTGTACAACCCCGACAGTCCGATTCATGACCCCGGATCGCTACGCTGCAAGGGCTTCTAAAGGCCCCTTATAGACCCCATCTTCCGACTCCAGGCCAAGGAGGAGTGGTTCAGCGCGTGGAGGGATGCCAAGCAGGGTAAGCGGGGTGCCGACTACGAGCAGCTGAAGAAGCGATTCGAGGACCCTCTGCGATCTTAGCATGTGATGGCAAGGACAAATCCATGTAAAGCTCCCATATAATCATGCTATAGTAGAGGTCAATAATTAGGTAGTAATAATATGCACATGCGGCCCCTGTGCATTTATGTTGTTTACAGTAACATATCGCTAAACCCTAAACCCCGATCATTAAGGTACAGAGCGACGTCGGCAGCAACTAGCAAGGAGTATCACACCTACTCCAGCAGACTCATCAGCAAGATCATGTTGTTGCTGATGCCGGAGACGACGACACGAACACAATTTTGAGACTACCAAGAGGAAGAGTAATGATTGCAATAAGAGGCATGTTGGCACCTTCTGTTTCCTGCTTAGGAGTGGCATCTCCTTTTCGTTACACTGGTCACCCTAGACCTCCTACTTGGAGGCTCAGAGAACTTAGTAAATAGGTCATGAACAAGTAGGGTACGATTAGTGCCCCCCAGTTGGATCACCTGAAGCCACCACGCCCACCTGCAGCCCAATTCTTCTCTCAACGTTTATTGTCTACTAGGTCTCCAAGAAGACCTATGCGAACAACAGCAACGTCCTCTTCCAATCGTCCTCCTTTTGCTAGTTTACATCTTTGTCGTCACTACTCCACTGCGTGTCAAGTCTTACGACCATCGCGCTGAGGAGGGAATGGTTAAGGGCCTTCTGAAGCACTTCCCGCAGCTTGAGGGCAAGGCAAGCCAGGGCAGCAGCCCTAAACCCCTAAAGCCCTAACCCCCAACCCCTAAAGCCCTAAACCCCGAAAGCCCTAACTTCAACCCCTAAGGCCCTCAAGCCCGAAAGCCCCAAACCCCAAAAGCCCTAAAGCCTAAACCCCTAAAGCCCGATATACCTAAAGCCCTCAAATCCCCTAAACCCCCCAAAGCCCCTAACAGATCGAGTACGTGGAGATGGGGAGCCCTCTCTCGAACATGCACTACCTGAACCGTGCGGCCAGCTACGGCCTCCAGCACCCACCCAGCCGCTACACAGCGGCCCGGAAGAACTTTAGGGTTTAGGGTTTAGGGTTTGGAAGAACCTTAGGGGTTCGGATTTGGAGCTCACAGTAGGGTTTTTGCCTGGGGCAGCCCTGAAGTGACTTGGACCCTTGACTCCAGGAGCAACCGCAGATCGTACATGCCGACTCCCGAACCCCCGAAAACCCGAATCCGCAAACGCTACGTCTCTGCAAAGCCTGATGAGCTTCCTTCATCGGTAGAGGTATCCGCGGAACACAAGAAGCCGTGCAGGAAGCTCCATAATCTTGCTGTTTGCAGTCCCTGAGTCCCTGTTCTCCTGTGCTATGCTGAATTTCAACACCTCACTTGTGGTCACCTACGCACGCCGCTGTTGGAGGTTTCGGAAGGACTGCGTCCCGGACGTCTAGCTGGTGTGGAGGGTATGTGGATGACTGGCCAGGACCTTCTTGGGAGACTTGAGGAACCCGAAACCCTTAACCCTAAACCCTAAACCCTAAACCCTAAACCCCCTAAACCCTAAACCCTAGGTTGGAATGCAGCAAAATCAAGCCCCTGAAGGATGTGACGACCAACGGTTTCGCCGGGGCATTGATGGGAGGCTGGGGCGAAGTGGGCTTAGGGCGTTTGGGTGTTTCATGTTGCTCAGGCAAAATTTGAAGCCTCAGTCACAGTGCTGACTTGTTGCAGCAGGAGCTTAAGAGTCTAAGCCCCATAGAACCCAAGACCTAAGTTCTCAACCCTGAACTCCCGAATCCTAAGCGCCTAGATGTAATTCCATCCTGAAGACAAACTTAAGCCCGAACCGGCTGCTGAGCGGTGTCCGGTTGGTAATAGTTTACGTGAACAAGGGCGCAGTAGGTGTCTGAGGGCTTTAGGAGGGACCCTTAATGGGGACCCTTGTAGGTTATTGGGGTTAATATGGAGACTACCTGGCCCTCCTAAAGTCCTTAGATGGTGGGGAGTTTAGGAGGGATCAGTCCTCTACGACAGCATGGGCACTTCTGCTTGTTGTGGTTCGAGTCGCAGGGCCCCGCAGCATTTGGCCACCTCCGGGTCCTTGTTGTCTCCGATGTCCGTGGAGAGATTCGTCCACCGTGGCAGGGATGGGCGGATCCTGGACGTGGACGAGTTCCAGGTGGCCAAGGCCCTCCTGGACGGAGAGGTTGAGCTCTTGAGCCAGGACGTCGATTCCAAGCACCTCTTCGATCTGTGCCTCCAGTTCGGCCACCAGAACACCGCCGTGGCGATGATGTCGTATGGAGTGTCAGGGTGCGTCTTCAAGGGTCCCCGCAGCTTGCCGCCTCATGCTTCTGCACCCGCTGGGGCAGCAGAAGGCTTCGGTGGTGTCGGATGTAACTGTCCGCACTGGCATACTTGCAGAGCGTGCAGCTGGGGGTTTCCGGAGGAATACGGTGTGTGGATGGAGGATTGGTATGCAAGCCTCCTGGATGCCAAGAATGCGGCGGAAAGCGCAGCTGCGATGCCATTGTTTCGCACTTTGCTTGAGGCCTGCCGCTCCGAGGCAGGTTGCCCAGGAATCCTCACGGAGGAGGCGATGCCCTACCTCCTGGACGTTGCCATCCTCATCGGGAATACCGAGCTCGCCAGATCCTGCGCCCGGCACTGCAATTGCTTCCCGTTGAGGCGCTGGAGATTCCAGGATTTTGTTGGGATCACCAGAATAGATGAACAGTGTATTCGAACAGAGATCCGGGAGAAAGATGTCCTGGTTGCAGCTCTGGCCGCCGGGCTAGCAATCGAGACTTTGACTGTCTTCCATGATGGCAGGGACCCATCGCAGTCCGACATGTCCGACCAAGAGACGCACGACACTTTCAGCTCTTCGCAGGGCTCCGAGGCGGGGGGGGGGATCAAATTCAAGCAGGATCCCCCTCCATATTTGAGGTTTTAGGGTTTGGGGTTTAGGGTTTAGGGTTAGGGTATTTGGGGACACCTGCAGTGCGAGACATCTTTCTGAAACGGAAGCTTCTGCAAAAGCTGCTGCTCCCGGACTGGTCAGTCATTGGCAAGAATGCTTCTAGCACCCCAACCGTACCAGCAGGACTCCATGAGACCACACCATACGCCTGCACGCCAAAACGCTGATCCCCACACCCCCAGATCCCAAACGCTCAAACAAACCCCCAAGCCCAAATCCCTAATCCCTACACGGTGCGCTTCAGCCATAGCCTCAATTCCTGTAAGGGTGCCCATGCTAGACGAATAAGAAGCCCAGGGAGGCCGTGTAAGACCCTTATGAATCCTCAACCTCCGCTATTAGGGTCATGGGACCCCTGGCGCAGGTACCCATGGGACCCCACTCGCGGTGCCTGACCTCCGCATCGCTGGCGGAAGCCATCGTACTTTCCGGCGATGCACAGCTTTGGCGCCGATTCCAAAGCCTTCAACTGCAGCTCGGGCCCTGGCCAACACATGAAGCCCAAAATGACATGGCCCGCTTTCTCCTGGAGCGTGCGGGCAGCCAAGTCAGGCTGAGCCCGGAGCTTCTGCATCGGGCCATGAGGGCCGGTCTCATATTGAGCTCATTTCGATTGCAGGTTGACTTCGAATGCCAGGGATGTGGTGGACATCTCCGGCAGCCTTGCTATGCCTCCGTGCTGGACTTGGCGATCGTCTTTGGGCAAAGCGACTGTGCCCGACTCTGTGGTGCGATGGACATCAAGGCGACAGAGCTTACACTTCCAGCGAGCCTAGAAGCGATGCCTCTGGTGTGGGACAACGCGGCGTGCTGGTGCGGCAGACAACCTGATGTCGGCTGGAGACCTGTGGATGCCTGGTCATCTCTCCCGGAGCGACGGGCTGCGGCAGCTGAGGCCCTGAGCGCGGCGCTGCAGATGTCCTTCCGACAAGTCGCTTGCTCTGCGGGGTTCGGGCTCTTTCAGGCCCTGCGCTCCTGGGCTCGCGGGAAGCGGGTGTCGGCGGATTTGGTGAAGTTGGTGTTGACTTTCGCAGCAGAACGGCCGTCACTGCCGCGCGCCTTCGCGGGGCGCGAGGGGGAGCTTCCTTCCCTGGGCCATTGGTGGGAGGAGTCAGATCACCAAGGTCCTCAGAGTCCGCAGCCAGTGGCGAAGGGTGCCGCGTCATGTGTACAAGCGGAGAGTGTGGGTGTTCCGGACATTCACTCTGCTGGTGCCGCCGCCGCTTCCAGCAACGAAGCACGAAAACAACCAGATAGCACAACAGAGAAGGAAAGTGGTCCTGACCAGGACTCCACAAGCGATCTCCTCGCGGCCATCCGAAACAGCAAGAGCGACAATCCCCCTTTGAGTGGCGACGGCGTGGTGATCTTCCGGCTCGGGCGATGGGCCACCTCCAACCTGGAAGAGATCAATACCGTGCTCTTCGATGCAACCGGGGAATTGAGGCCTTTGCACCATCGTGTGCTGGAGGCCGGATGTGAGGTGGCACCCGAATGGTCTCCGGCCAGGGCCCTCTTCGTGCCCTTGACCCAGCCACAGCTGCAGGAGCTCGTGCATGGCCGCTCGGGCACAAAGTCATAGAATCTTCTAACAGTCACCCTGGTAATGCTTTGGGGTCGGAGATCTCTTAAGCTCATCTGATGCGGTTTCTTACAGGAATACTGTTTTCCTTATGCGCACAAGTTTACTGGTCCTTTGCGAGTGCTCGCAGCAACACCCGAACTCGAGGCAACATGTACGAGCTGGGGAAGTTGCACGTGTTGGCCCTCGAGTCGGACGGCAAGCTCATCAAAGATGCCTTTAACCGCGCCATCCCCCGCAAGGTTCGTCCCAAGCTCCGGCGCGAGACTCTGCGCGTGGAGGAGGAACAGGGGGCTCCAGACGACGAGCCCTTGCTCGTGTTGGAGGGCGGTGTCCAGACGGACTCAAGCATGGGCTACCCCGTTTATGCGGGGCTTCCTTGATCGACGAGAGTTTGCCACCTTTGTGGTGAGATCTAGGAGGTGACATCCCTGTGACAAAGGCAGGAGCTTAGCTTTGCCAGATCTTGTTGCACCAGCCTATTTATATGATAATGAATATGCACATGGCGAAACGGCGATGTAAAGCGGCATATCTTGTAATACACCATAGATCCCAAGAGAATGCTTCGCATCGAAACATGAGTTCAGAAGCACAGGCAATGCTCCTATGTCATTTGCTGTGTAAGATGGGCGCTCTACTTCCAGCTTTGCTTACATACCCCTTTTCCCCCAAGAATTACTATGAAGCCAAAGCCGGACTTAGCACTTGCTCCTGGAGCCTCCCCCCTAAACCCTAAACCCTAAACCCCAAAACCGTAAACCCTAAACCTTAAACCCTAAACCCCAAAACCGTAAACCCTAAACCACAAACCCTAAA